CACACGCACACGCACACGCACACGCACACGCACACGCACACGCACACGCACACGCACACGCACACGCACACGCACACGCACACGCACACGCACACGCCCACGCACACGCACACGCACACGCACACGCACACGCACACGCACACGCACACGCACACACGCACACGCACACGCACACGCACACGCACACGCACACGCACACGCACACGCACACGCACACGCACACGCACACGCACACGCACACGCACACGCACACGCACACGCACACGCACACGCACACGCACACGCACACGCACACGCACACGCACACGCACACGCACACGCACACGCACACGCACACGCACACGCACACGCACACGCACACGCACACGCACACGCACACGCACACGCACACGCACACGCACACGCACACGCACACGCACACGCACACGCACACGCACACGCACACGCACACGCACACGCACACCCACACCCACACCCACACACACCCACACCCACACCCACACCCACACCCACACCACACCCACCCACACCCACACCCACACCCACACCCACCCACACCCACACCCACACCCACACCCACACCCACACCCACACCCACACCCACACCCACACCCACACCCACACCCACACCCACACCCACACCCACACCCACACCCACACCCACACCCACACCCACACACACACACAGCAATCCCGTGGAGCCATGGACCACATATTGAGCACAGCTTGCATGGTGCCAAGCCATTGCTGAACTTGTGTTGCTTTGCGTTTCTTCCACCGCAAGTGCCGCTGTGGATTGGCTGGCAGATTCCTCAGAGTCAGCGTGCGCCAATGATCATCAAGAGTTGGACTGCTGAGAGAAGCTGGCCTATGTGCATTTTTGTCTCTTTCTCGTCAGTATCATAATTATTGTGAAAGTCGGCCTCGAAGAAGCCTTGCTTGATATCTTTTTCAGGGGGCGAGTGTTGTGAGATTGCAGGTGCAGAAGTTGACGACCGTGCCCTCTTCGCCCGCGGTGCAGTCATTTGCACCAATGTTGAAAGCCTTGCTAGAGATTTGTCGGGAAAACGACACGCGCACAAAGTGTGGGAAGGAGGAAATGCACCCACAGCGCTATTGAGATGCTGGCAAGCCGATATCAAAGCATTGGTTGGACAATTCTAATTTCAACAGGAGACAAACCTGACCCACACCCGCAAAAGACACAAACTCCAAGAAACAGTAAGGAGATAGGTATACTTCGCGCCTCCTGCTAGATGTGGCCATGTAGCCTGCGTCCTTCCAATGGCTGAGCCAACGCTGGCTGCAGCTTGTTCTCTGGGGCGATTTGTATCACGGGGCCGGTTCCTCAAAATTGCTCACGTTGCAAAAGGACACGGCTGATGGCTGTGACATTGAGGAGATGACTACAACTACTGCCGGGTTGAGTCAGTCAATCTTCTTGAGCAGGACAGTCGATGCGCATTGTACACTATTTGTTACACTAAAAGAGTGGAGGAGATACGGATTTGCCTGCAAGTCGTGGGAGAAATGCCTTGGCCTCATTCCGTGTGCTATCCAGCTTTTTGCTGCAAGCTGGTGTGAGGTTCGATCCTGCCCACGCAGAGATTATGAGCTTGCTGCGTTCTCAATCACTCAATGCCTTTGTTAGTGAGCTGCCAACTGATTTTGAGTTCCAATTCGCGGCTTTGGGGCAAGGGGTGCTGTACCTCGAAGAGGTGCTCTGCCAGTGCTTTGCTCAGCGTTTTCTTTGTAGTACCGCTCTACGAACATAGCTAAGGTTGGCGAAGTCCAAGCGTCTCGTGACGGCCACAAGGCAGGCCTTCCAATTGGCATTGCCAAAATGTGCAGATTGCAGCCAGTGCGCTGATTAGCCACCAAAGCTGTCACATAGTGATTGCCGCTACCCGTTTTTGACATGCAGGTCATGCTTTCTTTTCCGGCCTCTAGGTCGGATGCGCAGGACCCTGTGGGTGGATCCGTTGTGTGATGTTGCGTTTCTTGCCCTGGACAACTTGCGCAGCGGAGGAGTTGTACTTCCGCTATGCACCGGGGTATTCGCCTGCGTGCGCCCGGCTGGTAAGATCAGGGGGACCACGAGATGTGCAAAACCAGCTGGACGAACCATGACAGACTCCTTTGTCAAGGTTCATATCAGACCTTCTGAGCAGCGAAGAGCATCAGGCTTCTCAACAGGTTTGATCAAATTTGAGAGTGAAGCTTTGATTCATCCTTAACGCCATGATTCATTTGGCTCCGAGGCACAGTAAGCTGACTCTTTGTTTCTTTTCAAGCTCACTTTTTTGAACAGTGTCTTTCCAACGTTCGCATGCAGTTGGGATTTTAGTATTCATACTTTCTTGAGGCTTTTAGGCTGCGCAATGGGCGCCATGGGCCATGCGGAGTGTCAGAGCCCGTGGCTCAAAGATCAAACGATGCAACTGGCAAGCTCTCAGTCTCAGGCCAGAAGGCCTTGGGTAAGATGTCAAGGCGGGATTTCAACTCTCGGGCTTGTCTCGGGTGGGCCTGTCTGGGGCCTTGTCTCGGGCCTTGTCTCGGGCCTTGTCTCGGGGCCTTGTCTCGGGCCTTGTCTCGGGCTTGTCTCGGGCCTTGTCGGCCTCCTCGCCGGCAAGCTCGGAGTCACGGAGGCAGCCTCTGCGCTGCAGATAGCAGTGCGCTTTCCGGACGACGGAGGGGCCGACGAGGTGGTGGCCGCCATAGGAGAGCAGATCCTGGGCCCCACGGACGTCTCGGGCTTGTCTCGGGCTTGTCTCGGGCTTGTCTCGGGCGTCTCGGGCTTCTCGTCTCGGGCTTCTTGTCTCGGGTTTCTCGTCTCGGGCTTTGTGTCGGGCCTTGTCTCGGGCCTTGTCTCGGGCCTTGTCTCGGGCCTTGTCTCGGGCCTGTCTCAGGCCTGTCTCGGGCCTGTCTCGGGCCTGTCTCGGGCCTGTCTCGGGCTTGTCTCGGGCTTGTCTCGGGCTTGTCTCGGGCTTGTCTCGGGCTTGTCTCGGGCTTGTCTCGGGCTTGTCTCGGGCTTGTCTCGGGCTTGTCTCGGGCTCGTCTCGGGCTCGTCTCGGGCTCGTCTCGGGCTCGTCTCGGGCTCGTCTCGGGCTCGTCTCGGGCTCGTCTCGGGCTCGTCTCGGGCTCGTCTCGGGCTCGTCTCGGGCTCGTCTCGGGCTCGTCTCGGGCTTGTCTCGGGCTCGTCTCGGGCTCGTCTCGGGCTCGTCTCGGGCTCGTCTCGGGCTGGTCTTGGGCTCGTCTCGGGCTCGTCTCGGGCTCGTCTTGGGCTCGTCTCGGGCTCGTCTCGGGCTTGTCTCGGGCTCGTCTCGGGCTCGTCTCGGGCTCGTCTCGGGCCTGCCTTGTCTCGGGCCTCGTCTCGGGCCTTGTCTCGGGCCTTGTCTCGCGCCTTGTCTCGGGCCTGTCTCGGCCTGTCTCGGGCCTGTCTCGGGCCTGTCTCGGGCTCGTCTCGGGCTCGTCTCGGGCTCGTCTCGGGCTCGTCTCGGGCTCGCGTGCTCGGTCTCGGGCTTCTCGTCTCGGGCTTCTCGTCTCGGGCTTCTCGTCTCGGGCTTCTCGTCTCGGGCTTCTCGTCTCGGGCTTCTCGTCTCGGGCTTCTCGTCTCGGGCTTCTCGTCTCGGGCTTCTCGTCTCGGGCTTCTCGTCTCGGGCTTCTTGTCTCGGGCTTCTTGTCTCGGGCTTCTTGTCTCGGGCTTCTTGTCTCGGGCTTCTTGTCTCGGGCTTCTTGTCTCGGGCTTCTTGTCTCGGGCTTCTTGTCTCGGGCTTGTTGTCTTGGGCTTGTTGTCTCGGGCTTGTTGTCTCGGGCTTGTTGTCTCGGGCTTGTTGTCTCGGGCTTGTTGTCTCGGGCTTGTTGTCTCGGGCTTGTTGTCTCGGGCTCGTTGTCTCGGGCTCGTTGTCTCGGGCTCGTTGCCTCAGGCTCGTTGTCTCGGGCTCGTTGTCTCGGACTTCGTTGTCTCGGGCTTCGTTGTCTCGGGCTTCGTTGTCTCGGGCTTCGTTGTCTCGGGCTTCTTTGTCTCGGGCTTCTTTGTCTCGGGCTTCTTTGTCTCGGGCTTCTTTGTCTCGGGCTTCTTTGTCTCGGGCTTCTTTGTCTCGGGCTTCTTTGTCTCGGGCTTCTTTGTCTCGGGCTTCTTTGTCTCGGGCTCCTTTGTCTCGGGCTCCTTTGTCTCGGGCTCCTTTGTCTCGGGCTCCTTTGTCTCGGGCTCCTTTGTCTCGGGCTCCTTTGTCTCGGGCTCCTTTGTCTCGGGCTCCTTTGTCTCGGGCTTCTTTGTCTCGGGCTTCTTTGTCTCGGGCTTCTTTGTCTCGGGCTTCTTTGTCTCGGGCTTTTTTGTCTCGGGCTTCTTTGTCTCGGGCTTCTTTGTCTCGGGCTTCTTTGTCTCGGGCTTCTTTGTCTCGGGCTTCTTTGTCTCGGGCTTCTTTGTCTCGGGCTTCTTTGTCTCGGGCTTCTTTGTCTCGGGCTTCTTTGTCTCGGGCTTCTTTGTCTCGGGCTTCTTTGTCTCGGGCTTCTTTGTCTCGGGCTTCTTTGTCTCGGGCTTCTTTGTCTCGGGCTTCTTTGTCTCGGGCTTCTTTGTCTCGGGCTTCTTTGTCTCGGGCTTCTTTGTCTCGGGCTTCTTTGTCTCGGGCTCCTTTGTCTCGGGCTCCTTTGTCTCGGGCTCCTTTGTCTCGGGCTTCTTGTCTCGGGCTTCTTGTCTCGGGCTTCTTGTCTCGGGCTTCTTGTCTCGGGCTTCTTGTCTCGGGCTTCTTGTCTCGGGCTTCTTGTCTCGGGCTTCTTGTCTCGGGCTTCTTGTCTCGGGCTTCTTGTCTCGGGCTTCTTGTCTCGGGCTTCTTGTCTCGGGCTTCTTGTCTCGGGCCTTGTCTCGGGCGTTGTCTTGGGCGTCTCGGGCTTGTCTCGGGCTTGTCTCGGGCTTGCCTCGGGCTTGTCTGTTGTCTCTGGCTTGTCTCGTAGGAAGTCGGGGTGTGCAGCAGCAAGACCCTCGCACAGAGTTGGCGAAGGCACGCCTTGTCAAATGTTTGAGCACGCAGAATTACCGGCAAGGCTTGATCGATGGGCGTGTATGGGATTTTTTCATGCTATGTTCGTCACTCTTAATGCGCCTGGTTGCAACGGACGTTTGCTTTTCAAAAAAACAAACAAAACACATTTTCTTTGTGGGCTATTGTAAGACACCCATATGAAGCACCGTCAAAATTACTTCTGTTGAGTTTAGTATTCGTCGTTTCGTTGATATTGTGAAAATGCACAAAACCATGGCAAACGATAGGGGACTCTCAAAAAAACGATACCCCTGGAAAACGATGGACATGCTGGAAAACAATAGGGGACTCTCAAAGTAAGTAGCGAATTGGCCGTAAGTAAGTAATTTTGACCGTGCCTCATATCAACAATGTGTTCTGCACTCACCAGGCCAATTCGGTGCCTGTGGGGGTGCTGCAGCTTCCTCGCTCTCGTGGTGAGAGGCAGATTGCCCAAGATGGTGCGAGATCATTGACGCCTTCTCTCCATAGGCTGCAGCATCTGGAAATTCTGGACCGAGTGCCCTTCGACCTGGTCACTGCCTACCATGAGCGCGCTGAACTTAGTTTGTTCAAGACTCCACGCTTTTGGACATCACCTGGCTCGTCAGAGGTGAAGCTGAACATGGGCGCTTGGTGGGTGCTGCCAGAGGCCCCAGATGTGGGCACGTCACATGTGGAGACCATGGCTGATTCAGCTGCTCAGGGCCAATTGGAAAGATATTGAGACGACACAGGAAGGACTCAGCAACTACGCTGATTCACACTATGCTCAAGGTGCCTCGTTTCAAATTGGAAGCAAATAATTGGGGAGTGCTGTCAGGCCTGTGTGGAAAAGCGTTGGGACCCCATGCTGTGGGACACCTTTGGAGAAGCGGCTCTGCAAGAAGTGTCCATCTCTCAGTTATGGTATACTCCGGTGTACTGCTTAGTCCGGATCACCCATCCAATTTTGGATTTCATATTTTGCAAACTCATACTGCACTTAGGGCTCGCCTGGGCCCCGCTGACATTGGACTGATCCTTTTCTGCTGCATGAAGGTTGCTCTTAAGGCATCAAAGTCTTTGATTTGTACAAGTGCCAGGCAGACTACCGAAGAGATACAGCACTTGTGCCAGAGCTCCTCAAGCGACTATCTTCGCTTGCTTTGGCAGGTGGGAGGCTTGATTTACAGACAAGCTGCCATGGCCAATGTGGGGTGGGATTCTAGCACCACTGATGCCTGACAGGAGGAGGATTGCGAGACTGGCATCACGCTGGACATGCTTCTGGCACACTGGCCAAGGTGGCTCAGGCCCGTGAAGCAAGCGACGTGAGGCAATCAGTTCGAAGAATATCAGTTCGTTTGAATCTTTCAGGTCAAGGCCAATGTTGACAGCGGACGCAAGCACAGGCCTGTGGGACTTCAAGACGTGTACACCGTCTACACAGATCTTTCTGACATTCACAGCTGTGTGTCAGGAGCAGCCCAGCTCAGGCCTGTGCATTTCCTTCGCAACTGAGCGACGCTTTGCTTCGGGAGTTTCCAGGCAACCAAGACCAAGGCCGACTTTCCCCAATATGTAAGCTCCTTAAAGTCCTTGGCGTGCGCTGCTTGCTTCATTTTTGTACGATAACCAAGGCTCTGCTAGCTGGCATGGCTGCAGTGCATCACTTTGGCTTGAGTCTTTTGCTTAGCATGCATCAGGGTCACATGTTTCTTTTCAAGCAGTTCATGATCGGCCAACTTAGATTTGCCTACAATCATGTTTGGGACAACATCTGACAGAGAGATTAGCCGAAAAGGTCTTGGCGCCCGCAAGTTAATTGCCCTTGGAAGTTGCAGTTCTTGCCATGTTCCTAAGTATGTTCAAGAGGCACACCACTTGTCAGAGGTGAGCTCCATGCTTTAGCCAAGTTCAAGATCACAAGATACCCTGCTGCTGCATTTTGCACGTGTTTGATTGCCAAGAGCTTCTAATGCTCTTGGCAAGAAAGAGTGCAGTGATTGCTGCATATTTGGGGAGTCCTGGAACAGAGTGGCGGTTGCAAACTTTAGGGAACTGGCTGGATACACAGAAAGTTCGGGAAACTCAGCTCTTTTTGATCAACCATTGACACTCAACACATTGCCTTGACTTTTGACTCGGGAGCTTCGAAAAAAGGCTTACTAAAAGATGCGCGACGCTGTGTTTGAGTGGCATCAGATCTCCGCTCTGGGAATCCTCGCCAGAGAAATCTAGATCTTCTGGAATTGCTATGGCTGAGGCAAAATTTGTGCGGATGACTTGGCAAAGATTGCAGCTCGAGCGCTCCAAAGTGCGCTGCCTTTCTTTGTGCCTTGCAGCTGACACTGAAATTGATGTGATGGCTTGTGTCAACGCTTTTTAGCGAGAGATGCTTTTTTCAACCAAGATGCCGAGGGCTAACGGCCCGAACAAATCGGAGCCAAACTTGATTGTGCCAGGCAGCCAAGCTATCTCGAGTCATGTACTTTGCCGTTTGGTGCACCATGCTGGGGGTGCTGACCTCGACAGGATTTTGGACGTTGCTTGGACGTTTATGCGCCTTCCGGGACTCAGGCCTTCTTGGCACAGGTGGAGCCCCAGCTCAATCAATCATAGCACACCGTTGCATGGATTCAGGCGGCTCAGGCATCAAGTTTTTGCAGGGGATTCAGCAGGAGTGCTGGCCTTACCCACCAAGCGAATTCGAGTTGGGCAAGGATTCCATGTGTCTTCGTGTCTCAGGTTGAGCAAGCGAATTCAAGGCCTTGCAAGTCACAAGCATGAGGTCTCAGCGCTCATGGCACGTGTGGCAGGCAGTGATATCACCCCTAGCCACTTGTGCTTGGTGGCCCACACTTATGCTGGAGTCTGAGCAGACAGCAGTGCTGCTAAATGATTGATGTCAGACTCTCCAGTCGTGGTTGGCGCAGATGCTTTTGATGGCCAGTAGATCCCTTTGAGGCCATTCTTTTGCCCTCAGGCCCAGGCTCCTGTGCGGAATGCAGCTGTCTTCCAGGCACCAAGCAGAAAACACAAAATACCCTTCTTCAGAGAATTCACTGGACACAGGATGTCAGAGACCAGCTCGATGACGTCGCTTTGCTACAGCCAAGCGCTCAGGTGTGTCAAGGTGCAACGCTACAAGACACAGACAAACTGCATCAGATTGAGCATTGGGGAGCTAGCCAACGTGGCCAATGCAATGTGCTCAGCTTGCCTTGTGCAGCACACTTGCACACTTCATATTTGAGGACATAAACATTTGTGTCCAATTCCTGCTTTGCGACGAAAGGCTTTTGCGAAGTTGTCTGATGCCGCGAAGTGCGGCAACGTGGAGCTTCTTGACAGGCAGCTGTGGCAGCTTAACATGCTTTGGATTCTCTGTCAGAAGCAGTGTTTGCAAGCCGTTACAGGCTCACAGTGTACACTGTGTACGCTGCGTACGCTAGGAGCTGCTATTCCTTTGCGAAATTTGGCAATGGGATAGGGCTGATGGAGCTCAGTGCCAGGGGCTCCGTAGCCGGAGAGGAGGACATAGGAGAAGTCTTCATCCTCGGCGCTGTGTATTCAGGCAATGGCGGAGCCGTGCCGCAAATCGAAGGAAGCTTTGATTGGATAGCTGAAGGAGAGGGTCCACAGGCGGAGGAGTTCCGGAGCTACCGTTTGGAAGCAGCGCGACTAACTGCTGCTGCATGTCGCCTAGGGCGCTATTGCATCAATGAAGAGGAGATACCATTGCTGAGCCTGCCAGACTTGCTGGGTGGAACGCACTTAATCACTCGTGCAGATACGGGGAAGCCAGCAGCCACATACGCGACACAGTTTCTGTATCATGACTCTGCAGAGACGCCCCTGACTGATGTAATGACTTTGCTTGATGAGCAGAACATGCCTTTTACACTATTGAGTGCAGGCAATGCATACTCTGTGGGTGGTAATTTTTCCACTGGTGGGGCCGTTTTTGCGGAAGAGGCCTTGTGCATGCAATCTACGCTTCACTTGTCACTGAGGCGCGCTGCCAAGATGGCAGAAGAGAATGGCGTGGCTGCACCCAGATGGGCAAAGCCGACTGTGGATGCTGCAGGCAAACCTTGGCAGGTCTACATACCAGAGCTGGGAGCGGTTCTCAGCCCAAGGGTGGAGATCTTTCGCACAGGCCCCGAGGACGGCTTCGCCTTTTTGGAGCGTCCCCTCCAAGTGGCTTTTGTGATCACCACCGCCATGCCGACTTGCAACCCAGAGGCAGATTATCCAATCGATGCCCCGGAGGACATAGAGGAGTACCATCGCATAGTGGAAGCAAAGATTGCAGCAGCTTTGGAAGTTGCAATGCAACTCAAGTCACAAGTTCTGGTGGTTCCGGAACTTGGTTGTGGTTGGCAGGGGAATGATCCCCGAATCATCGGGGAGAGGCTTGCAAGCGTGATTTCTTCCCGTTTTCCTACCGCTTTCTCAGAAGTTCACTTCGTGGGGGATGAGGTGTTCCTGATGTCGTGCTCACGTGTGGAACACGACATTGCAGGCTCCCGAAATTCACAAAGCTTTGCTGACACCATTTTGGATGCAAACTCGGGAATGCTGGACCCTCAGATGCTGGACGGCCCAAGCCCGGATTCTCGAGCAAGACACGTGTCGGACGAGTTGGACGCCCCGAGCCCAGCCCCTCGACCTCGAGCAAGGCATGTGTCGGACGAGTTGGACGACCCGAGCCCAGCCCCTCGACCTCGAGCAAGGCATGTGTCGGACGAGTTGGACGACCCGAGCCCAGCCCCTCGAGCGAGGCATGTGTCAGACGAGTTGGATGCCTCCAGCACGGCCCCTCGAGCAAGACAGGCTGCTGCACATGCTGAGCTGCAGCTGGATTCCTTCTCTTCAGAGTCTGATTCTCTGTCTTATGACCCCACAGCCGAACAGTTTGCAACAGGAAGGCAGGAAGCGACAGCCAGCAGTGCCTTCGCAGATGGTGCCCAAGTATTGAGCCCCAACGAGGGTTCTCCAATAGAGAGACAGGAGCCTACTGCTTTCAGTTCCTTGGTAAAAGGTGGCCGAGACAAGCCTGACAAGCCTGACTTGATGTTTCGCCCCAAGGGCATCGAGCAAGCCTGTCTTGACTTTGTGGAGGAGATTGAGGCCTGCCAACAGACGCTGTCTCGTTGGAGCAACGAGGACTTGCGACGGGAGTGGGAAGCAGCTCACCGGCAAGCCAAAGAGCTTCAGGATGAATGTGCTTCCGTGGCCGAGCAGCGCTGTGAGCTTGAGAAGGGCCAAGCGGAACTCATTGAAACCAGGGAACAGTTGCTTCAACAGCTTCATATTTTAAGGGCAGCTCCAAAAGGGAGCTGCTGCATTTGTTAGTGTGCCGAAACTGCTGCTAATGATTGTCAAAGCAGCGTAGCAGCTCGAGAAGAGACAGACAGTCAACTATCCCTTTGCTTGCTGGACGCTGTGGATGTACTGTCCACCTTTCCTGAGTCACCCCTCAGCTTTTGGGTTCAGGTTGGGACGTCAGTTACTCCAGCTTGTGGCTCAGGGTATTGATTTGAGTTGTATGAGCTGAAACTACGCCGCTCAGGGCATCTCAAGCTGATGCAACTGGTGAACCGCAGGACAGGGTTGAGAGGGGCCGCAGGAGAAAAGAGTTGAAGATGCTTCCTAGTCCAGGACACACTGGACTTGCGTAACGCATGTGTTGTATTGAATGCCATGCCTTCCTGTTTACGAACTGTCTTGGCAGATAGCAGCACGAGTGCGCAGAGTGCTTTGCTCAATGGCAGGCCTTTGCACAAGTTGCTCTTCGCCATGAACCTTTCTTCGTTGCCTGTGAAGAGCGCTTGCCCGTCGGGGGCACAGCTTTGCCAGAGCAGAACTTTTCTAGTTGCAACATGGACGAAGTGCGCAACTCTTTCTTTCTCCATTAGTTTCACCAGCTTGATGCACCACTATTTGCCTCAACGGTTGTCTGCACTGCTATCTACTGCAGCAAAAGCGACGTGTCACAGAAAGTTGTTTTCATGCACTTTAGCAACGGCGGCGGCGGCGGCATTGGCAGCAGCAGCAACATTATGATAGTACTGGTACAATGATTCCCAAGCACACCACATCAATGATGTCCTCGATGCTCACATTGAAGGGCTCAATGAAAAGTGTTCACCCGACAACCATGTCAAAGCCAGAAAGGGCAGTTCCCGAGCTGAGACGTGCCAGCTCTATTCTTCCTACATGGGATCACTTTTGCCCCAGTTCCAGGAATATGCCAGCTTGTTTGCGTCGTCCTTTGGAACCGTTCACAAAATGCTTCGCCTTTGGGAGTGTGTGTCAACTCTCTTTGCTTCGCCCCTGCCCGGCCGCTGCTGTGCGCCCGTGTCTCTGCTTCGCTCACCTTTAGCCAGCCATCGGGCGACACTCACCCGACACTGCTCTGATCCTTTGTGGACGACCATCCTTGTATTTGTTTGCGCTGTGTCCTCTCCTAGCCGAACTTCTCGCGTTTGATCTGGTGCTTTGTTTTGTCGCTTAAAACTGCCCAGTTGTCAACTTTCCGTTCCCAACTTTCTTCATATGTCATATGTCAGCTGAACCTCTGCCACCTCGTGAGAATGCGTTCTCGCAATTTTGCCATCCTAGCGACGAGGCTGCGCCAAAGAGAAGGCATCCCAACAGCTTTTTGCTTCTCCTCGATGCTGCCTGGCTATTCTTTTAACAGCCGTGATCAGCTTACTGTGCTTCAAAGCAGATTGTTTGACCAGCCATAGGTGGACTTTCCTAGCGCAACCGCCTTCAGGGTATGGAGTACGGCGTCAGTTCATCGTGGCCATTTGTACATCGAACTCAGGCCTCGAGCTACGGCAAGCGCACAAGAAAAAGGTAGCTGTTGGTCAGCTTAAGCGAGGGGCCAGTCCCATAGCGAGCACGGCTACTCCGGCTCTGGGTTCGACGCCTTGCCGGCCTGGGACCACAGAGGGTCACCGGGTCACCTGGTGGCTGAGCAGCTTTGCCTGAAGAAGAAAGCAGCGTGCCACCTTGCTGCTCGACGACGGGAGAGTGCGTTGGCGAAGGATGGTGTAGGGTCTCATCAACATGAAGCAGAGGAAGCTCCAGCCCAAGTGCCTCATCAAGAGAGCCTGCAGCAGCCTGAAGGTGGCGACCGCGTTCAACAACTGCAACCGACTGGAGGAGAACCTCAATCAATCACGAACAGTGCGAGAAAGGAGTGAACCTCAACCGCAACCAGTGCAGGAAGGGATTGAACATACATCACGAGAATGGCGAAAGCGCGGTGCAATGGGCGCTGTCCGAAGGCTCCGATGAACGAGAAGCTATGAGAAGAGCCTTCGAGCCGCTGAAGCCGGGTGATAAAGCAGGTGTTGTGCGCGGGTTGCCTTTAAACCTCACGTCTCAAAAGGCTCTCCGCCCTTCGCCTCTCTTTGCAGCGCAAAGCCGTCCATACCGACAAAGTCCTGAAAGTGCCTCTCTTTCTTTTCCATTCACTCTACGAAACAGCTGAGCCTTTCCACTGCCTCTGCCGCTTTCTTCCATCAATGCCTTCCTCAGCTCCCAATCGCTGCCCCTCCAAAGCCCTCTGGTGTTAGCTTCGTCATTCCAGTTTTCTTGGTTGCTCATGACTTCACCCAACTACTCTTTATTCCCCAAACAGCGAAGCATTGGGGTTCTAACTTGAGGTATAGAGCATGGGAAAGTGTGACGCCGGTTCCGGGGTCCTGTTTTCCACGTGTCTTCCTGTCTCCCAGTTTCTCCGGTCAGATGCCAGATGCTGTGACGCTGGATCCGTGGGTCGTGTCTCCCGCTTGTCTCCCTGCGTCTCTGCGATGCTGCGACGCTGGCTCCGGGGTCGTGTCGCTTGCACTCCCTGTGTCTGCCAGCTTCTGCGGTCAGAGGCCAGATGCTGTGTCTCCCTCCCAATCTCTGCGGTCAGATGTCAGATGCTGTGACGCTGGCTCCGGGGTTTGCCAGATGCTGTGACGCCGGCTCCGGGGTCGTGTCTCCCACTTTCTCCCTCTCCCTGTGTCTCCCAGTCTGGTCGCAGTATATTCCCGAAAGCACGGCGAAGGGCTCTTCCACTGGAATCACTTGAGTTGTTCTCATGAGAGTCATTGCAGGGTGTCATTGCAAGGAGTCATCATCATGAGAGTCATTGCAAGGGGTCATCATCATGAAAGTCATGCAAGGAGTCATTATCATGAGAGTCACCATCACGAGAGTCACCATCATGAGAGTCATCATCATGAGAGTCATCATCGTGAGAGTCATTGCAAGTGCAAGTGGCAAGTGCAAGGACATGAGAGTCATTGCAAGCTCGCGCGACCCTCTTCGGGGATCGGCATGGTCGAGGCGCAAAAACTCGAGGTTTTTTTTTGCGATTTTGTTTTGGCTCGCGCGACCCTCTGCGGGGATCGGCCTGGTCGAGGTGCAACAAACCTCCAGGTTGTTTTGGTGTTTTCTGCGGTGCTCGCGCGGCCCTCTGCCGGGATCGGCGTGGTCGAGCTGCAAAATCTCGAGGTTTTTTTTCGCGTTTTCTGCGGTGCTCGCGCGACGAGTTGTCTTGTGGCTCGCGCGCCTGCTCCCAGGACCGGCGGGTCGCGGGCTCGATGCCCCCCTTTCCCCCCTTTTGCGCGGGCGGGCTTCGCAAGCGAAAGCCGTAACTCTCAAGTACAAGTAGTGTGTGAAGTCCACTCCCGGCAGCTGGAGCTTGAAAATCGCAAGTTTTAAGTGTGAAAGTAGTACGGGGCGTGCGCTCTTACTGCTCCGGCTGGAAAATCGCAACTTGCCCAAAGAAACTTGCGCAGGGCACTCGCGGGCAGCGATGTGGAGACTTGCGCAGAGCAACTTGCGCAGAGCACTTGCGCAATGACACTTTCGCAGAGAGACTTGCGCAGAGTAACGTGTGCAGAGCACATGCACAGGCCACAGGCCAACAGCAAAATCTGCGACATGCCCTTTCCCCTTTCCCCATTGCTAAACATTTTTGCAAGTCGTTCCTTCTGGCTTCGAATCTATGTTTCTAGCTGGATTGCTTTTGAAGCTTCTCAATTGCGCTTGCGCGCTGCTGCCACGTGAGCCGAAGGGAGCCGATGGGAGCCGAACGCCGGGTACTGGATGCCAAGCAAGCCAGGTCAGCCTCAAAACTAAATAATTCCTCCCTTCATTTTTCCTGTTGAGGGCTGTAAGCAGGAAAACAGCCAGCTGGCAGCAAGCAAGGTTAGACTCGCAAAGAAGAAGCAGCTTCAGTTGGCTTTGCCCGGGGCCCGGGACCTTCATTTTTCCTGTTGAGGGCGGTAAGCATTGAAAACGGTCAGCTGGAAGCAAGCAAGGTCAGCCCCAAAACTCGCAAAGAAGAAGCTGCCCTCCTTTACCGCAGGCTGGGAGACGAGACTGGGAGCACGGGAGACAAGCGGGAGACACGACCCCAAGCCAGCGTCACAGCGTCTGGCATCTGACCGCAGAGACGGGAGACACAGGGAGACAAGCGGGCAGACACGACCAAGGAGCCGGCGTCACAGCATCTGGCCTCTTAGGGAGACAAGCGGGAGACGAGTTGACCAGACTGGGCTGGCGTTTGCGAGTGCTAGCCATGAATGCAGGTGCGCAGTGGCAGACAATTGAGGGTTTCGAGCATTTAGCTTGAGGTGGATGAGGAGGATTCTGTTGATTCTGTGGCTGATGAAGGTGGTGACGATGATGATGGTGATGAGGGTCAGGATGACGAGGATGAGGAGGATGATGATGAGGAGAAGGAGGGTGATGATGTGTGTGATGGTGAGGAGCCACAGAGAAGTCGACGGTTTCCTTGACAGTTTTGCTCCGAGTCAACAAGCCCTTGGAATGGAGAAGGGGCACGGCTCCACTAAGCATTTTACCAGCGAAGCAACTAGAGGGCTTGCGCGGGTTGGTCACCATCTTAGCCAAAATCGTATGAAGCGGGGGGAGGGGGGCTCTAGGCGACTGATGATGCTAGGGATGCAGGAGCGCTGCAGGAAAGACATCCAGCGGATGACACCAGCAAGTTGCGCAAGCAAGTTGCGTTAGCAAGTAGCACTAGCGAGTTGCACTAGCAAATTGCCACTAGCAAAATGGCGCAAGCCAGTAGCACGAGCAAGATAGCGCTAGCGAGATGCACGAGCCAGTAGCGCTAGCCAGTGGCACTAGCAAGTAGCACCAGCAAGTGGCACTAGCAAGTTGCAGTATTGAGTTGCACTACGAAGTTGCAGTGTGTTGCGGCAAGCGCTGCGCGCAGAGAGCTTGCTCAGACAACTTGCTCATTGAAACTTGTTCAGAGAAACTTGCTCTGAGAACTTGATCAGAAGAATTGTGCCAAGAACTTGCTTGGAGAACTTGCTCAAAGGAACTCGCGCCAACAACTTGCTCAGACGAACTTGCGCAGAGAACTTACTTGGTGCCGTGCGCTGCTCATGCTTTCGGGCCACCCATCTTCTAGTTCCTCTTGGTAGCATCACTGTAGTTCGAGCACCCTTTCTTGTTGGCAGTGCTGTTGTAAACCTCGCCTCCTGGCTTGTTGCCAGTATTTAGCACCTTCTCAGTTGGATAGTCGTGTGGCCCGGCCAAAATCATATCCCGTCTTTCGCTTCGCTAGCTGGTCCTGCGACGCTTTTCCCTCTTTGCAACCTATGCAGTCCCACTGACAAACGCATTTTGCTTGAAGCATTTCACACCTTCGTGATGCCAAGGTCGCGGCTTTGACATATCTCGTTGCCTCCTGACAGAAGGGTTGAAGACAGATTTCCAAGCCTTGTTTTCCACATATTCCGCAATATGGACGCTGCTGTTTCGCACGTGTCCGAAAGTGCTCAGGGCTTACAAGTGCGAGGGCTCAAGGGTTTTTATGGTGACGTCGTAAGGTGCCATTATCATTCTCTGAGGCGCTAGCTTCCCTACAGTCTCTGGACCCATGGAACGCCAAAGGGGTTCAACGTGAGCTGTATTGCGTGGCGCTTGTGCTAGCCTCCCGCAGTGAGTATTTTTGGAAATGCGAGCAGTTCCATTTCATTCTCGCAATCAACTTTCTTCTCCGAGATCTCGACTTGAATTTGGCAGCTCTGGGCGAGATTCTAGTTTACTTGCTTGCAGCACACGTGGCTTGTCGGGAAACCAAGCTGGAGGGATGTGCTGATAGCATCAAGACCATCGCTCACCGAAGCAACACGTGCTAAAGACATGGCCCATCCATTTCTTCTTTGACGACACAGCTTCGCCTCCACTACGCCTTGAACATTGATTCCGACCCGTTCTCGCAAAAGGTTAACTGCGACACACGGTCATGGCCATGTTTCGGCACATGTTCGGTGGCTGTATAATCTAATAAGAGTTGCTAACGCCGCAGTCTGCAAGTTTATGCAAGTTCTCTCTTGCTTTGCTTGCGCCAAGACCTTTAGCCGAGCTCGAGAAGAAGATAGCAACCAGAAGTGGCATGCGCCCAGTCTCGGCCGCAAGCTGCTGAAACTGATGCGCGAGTTTCAGCAGAGTAGCGAGACGGCCACCAAATGCTGCGGAGCGTCCGTACTACGGGAGTTCCTTCGAAAGTTCCTTTGATTAATGCCAGGTGTTAGCGAATCCCTGGGGCCTTCACTCTCGAACATGGCATGTCCTCCTGGAAGTCAATGAACAACATCGATGCTTTTACCCGGCGTCAAGGAGATGGATGGACCCGACGTGTCCTCTTCCCAAAAAAGGGGACTTCCTACTACAGAGACATGCATAGACTGATTGTAACTGTGTGTTGCTCACATAAGCTACTCAATTTCGCACCGTACATGAAGGAGACAAGCCTTTTTTGGTTACAGACCTGTCATGCTTTTTTGCTGTTTGGGGTCGAGGCTGGTGTAATGGACTGGACCACAATTGTTGCATAGTCTGCCTGGTCCTCTGTCCCCGTGCTCCATCATCATCTCCATCTCCCAACTCATTCTCTTCATGGTCATTCTATGTATCACCGGTGCAAGTTAGCGCGCTCCTTGCCAACCGCAATTCGGATGTGGTGTGATGCAGATGATGCAGATTAGGCAGGACCAACGCAAGCAGACGGGAATGACGCAATGTTGTAGCTCCCCCTCCCCCCCAACACCTTGAGATTTGGGTTCGCTACGGCACGGCTAATCTAAAACGAAAAATGCGGATCTTGTGTTGCTCAACCCACCGAGTGTGAAAGAGAAAGCCCAAAGTTTGTCGACTCCTCTCAAGGCTGTGCATGTCAAGGCACCTCTGCACGATTTTAGTCAAGCAACTAAAGCGAACATTGCAGGTGCGTCCTTTGATTTATTAGCTGGTAATAGCTCCGTTTTCCAAAGGAAACATAGCCTGGTTTGTTTGTTTATCTATAGCCGCGGATGTGTAGGATGATTCCGATAGGCCCAACCATCCTTGAATTTGTCAGCGGGGACTCATTGAAGCAATGCAATCGATATCACTCTTAATGATGCATTTCAGAGCACTGCTCATCATGCTGTTCAGAAACGCTCATTCAACTCAGGAGACTCAACAAAGAGACGTGGCCTGAGGTCTTATTGCACTGCGGCAGCGATGTTAGACAGTTTGACTCTAAGAGTGGCGCGTGCCGCATCAGGAGTTGCTTGCAAGACCCAGGCTTTCGATGATTGCTCATGCCTACGTGGCTTTAAGTCATGTTTTTCGTCGGACGTTGGGGTCTGCGTTTCTAGGGGTCAGTCTTTGTCCCAAGGCCAGCACAAAACATTTATTTTTCATTTTTGCAAAGTGCCTTGTGATGGCAGGTTCGTGTGGGGCTGTCACAGAGCTGCCTGTTGCCGCTTATTTGGGATCGCGCGCGTTGCACCAAGCATGTCAACATCCTGCACCTGCGTGGATTTGGATTCTGTTGATCGCCATTGACTTAGGACACGTTTGGCTCCTCACTGCGATGCACAGGGTGTGTCCCTGATGATATTTGCAGTCACAAAGGCAGCTGCTGAGTAGGACAAGTCTACACAAGTTCAACAATTTCCTTGACTGGCACGTGCACATGCAGAACTCAGACTTGAGAGCAACACAAGTGCAGGCTGCTGCAAGCGAGGCGGCAGGCAAGTCATCAAGATGGTCCCAATGGAATGTCCTTCGCACAGAAGTCCATGTTGAGGCGTCGGGTTGGTCCGAGCACTGACTGCGCGATTGCTGGAGCTGCTGACTGGCGAACCTCCGAGGATTTGCTTTGGATTTTGCTGTGACGGAGACATATCTGAGAGCCAAGGTGAGTCAGCTGTACCGCCACAAACCGTGGTTGTTTGTGCGTGCGCTCTTCAGCTCGACCTGTCTGAAGAACTGATTTGCAAAGAAAGAGAGTTTGCAGGTACGCGCTGGCCAAAAGCGGATTTACAACATTGGTGCAAAACTCAGATGTGTGATTGATGTGTTGGGAGTTCAGGATGCTGACTCAAGGTCGATCCTGCAGTGTGGAACATGCTTGCTGGACATGGGCAACAATTTTTGGGACAGCTCTCATTGACAGAGGCAGGGAGATGTTGGGCATGCAAAAAACAAGACCAGATTCAGCAGGTGTAACTCTTTGAGGTTGCAAATCTGGCCGCTGCCCTTGCCGAAGTTGCCAAAAGCAGCCAGGCGCGTGCCGGTTCTGCGAGATCAGTTTGTTGTTGGCGAAAGGGTTTCACGCTCGCAGATACGGACACAGATACGGGCACTTAAAGACAGAAACAGCAGAGCAGGGTTGCTCGGCGCAAGCACACCGCAGTGCAATAGTTCCGTGCGACCTAGATTGAACCAGACGTTTTGAACACCGCCAAGTTAGTTTGGCACAGCTAGCTGCGAACAGTGCCACGATTCTAATTGCAATGTTTCGGCTTAAAGAAACGTGAGACCACAGTCATCCCCTGGAACACTTGTGTATTGAAGTTGCGAATGTAGGCAAGATAGGGTACGTTGAAAGCAGGCTGGCCTTGTGATGTGGCCCAGTAGTCCCACCGCGGATTGGCTGGAGTGTTCACAGCCTATGGTTGCAACGCCGGCACTGCCCAAAATAGCATTGGCCAGCTGAACTTGCATGACGTAAGAAGAAGCAAACAACAGGCACCGCATTGGGTTGTCTCCTAGCAGACTCGAATTGCTGGTGCATATCCATACCATGTTTGCCTTTAGTTGTTCCACATGCTCGTGAAACCGCTTGACACCTGTACCTGCAGCAAGAGAAGCCTGTGGCTTACCCGCATCAATGTTGAGATATATGTGTAACACAACAAGCGCCAGCAACCGTTAGCCTATGACATGTTCGCGCCAGCAACGCTAGCATATGATATGTTCTGCGTTCTAATGTAGTGGCCTTGAGCCATCATCCCCATGAATGAAGACTACCTGCAGTGCAGTGGCTTGCGTGGCAGGGAGAAGGCTTGTCTCCAAGTATCTCTACATTTTTCCGGCATTTGCGCGAGACCTAGCTGCTGGGTAGCTTTGGATTTGTTGCTGTCATGGTAGAAGAATGAGGGCTTGACATACCCAAGATACTGCAGTTGCAAGCAACTTGACGCCAGAGGTCAAATGAGCTGAATCAGCGCCTGAAGGATGGTTCCATCAGGCAAGGCTGCTCCTGAAGTGTTTCAAGTTTCCGTCGGTATCGACCTCGCAGACTTTGCAAGGATGTTCTTTGCAGGACTGTTCCACCGGCAGCGGCATCCAAGCTGATTGTGGCCTTTGGAGAGCCTTGGCACGTTGTCGCTTTGTATACACACACGTTGTATGTGTGCAGAATTCACGGGAAAATTGAACATCCACCTAGCTTAAAGTGCTTGAAGCCACAAACACGATCTTTAGATCGTCTTTGAAGCTGAGGATACTAGATCCGTCGAGGCAGCTAACATCGTGCAGATGTTGGCAAGGCCTGATCATTGCTGAACAGAAGGCCAAGAGGAGCATGACCATTTTGCAGGATTTGCCCTTGATTGAAGGGGGGGGGCAGGGGCAATGCATCATTGAGCTCGCACATTCACCGTAGTGTGTGTCCTTGAGCACACTTGAAGATGCCAGTGGTAGTTTTGCATGATGAGCATGTGCGAACAGGCGATGCCTAGATCCGTCGCATGCACCTCAGAATGGTGTGGAAGCCAACTGAAGGTCGTCTCAAGTCCCGCTTAGGTCTTCTCAAGTTCCGCTACGTGCTGTCACTCTGGCTTTGTCCAAATTGCAAGTCTACGACGAAGATTTGATGCAGGCTAGCTGGGTTGCTTGCAATCGCAGAGTCAGGCAACAAGTTTGCGTCAGAAGACATGCTTTGAGCTTACCATTTGTTTGAGGCACTGACAATGGCTCAAAAGCCAACGTCCCGGCGCGGGCATCAGTGACTGCGATTTTTGTTCTTCAAAGAAAGAACACATGGTGAGCATCCTGGCAGATGTTTGGTTTCTGGCGGGAAATGTGCACAGTGCACTGTTAACGTCGGCCGAAATATCAGTGAAGCAGCTGATGGCTCACTCCTCTGGCGGGGGAAAACAGTTTCTCCAAGCTGGCCCTGTTCCTTGACTCTGTGTGGCATTGCGATTTGTAGCTTGTGTTTGTCAGCAAGAGCGCAACCAGACTTGCTGATGGGGGCAATCTGACAACAAACGTGTGAAGCGATTGCAGGAAGCGAGTCGCGAATGCGAGTTCCTGTTCCAGGGAGAAGGCCTGTGGTGCACATTGGGTATTTATTTCGGTGGTACTGATGCTGTCACCTTGTGACATATATTTGAGACTTGTGCCAAGTTGAAAGGTCCGGATTTTGAATCCCAATACCCTTTGGCCACGCGTGTCCCAAGACAGGTATCCCCTTTGAATCGCAGAGGTCATTTTTGAGCGCAGGCAGCATTTTGCTCAAAGCTCACGCCTCGCATCTCGCCGTCTCGCCCCTCGCAATGGTTCTTGAGGCTCAGCTTCAGCAGGCGGCGCTCCTGAAGAAGGTCGCTGAGTCCATGAAGGATTTGTAGCACGGCTGAGGGCAACCATTTTATACTCGTTGCTTATTTCCTGTCAGGGTCCCACTGGGTCTGCAATCGCGAAGGAATAGCGTTCCATAAGCCCAGTTGACAGGTGCAAAGATGTGAACTTTGACTGCTCTGAGAAGGGCATCGAGGTGCAGAGCATGGACAGCTCGCATGTTGCCCTTGTGTCAGTTCTGCTTCGAGAGTGCGCTTTTGCAGAGCTCCTTTTCTGATTTTAGCATTGCTCAGATTCACGTTTTGATAGACGTTCTGTTCTGTTTGGTTTCCCTGCCAAGGTTCAAATGTGACCGCCCGGTCTCATTGGGGATGAACATTGACTCGCTGACCAAGATCCTGAAGATGACCGCGACCAACGACTCTCTGAAGATTCGCTACCAGCATGACGCAGACACTGTGAATTTCCAGTGTGAGGGCTCTGATGATCGCATCGCAGACTTTGATCTGAAATTGATGCAGATCGAAAGTGAGCACATGGAGATTCCGGAGCAGCATTACAAGGTAGTTGCACGCTTGCCTTCTGCTGAGTTCCAGAAGATTTGCCGGGACTTGAAGGAGTTTGGCGAGACCATCCAGATCAGCGCCAGCAAAGAAGGCCTGAAGTTCATGGTGCAGGGTGATCTCGGAAGCGGCAACGTGGTCTTGAAGCCCAGACAAGGTGACAAGCCAGAGGACACAGTGACGCTTACAGTGCATGAGCCCGTGTCTGCTACCTTTGCCCTGCGCTACTTGGTGAATTTCGCCAAGGCAGAGAAGCTTTGCGGTGCAGTCGAACTGGGACTTGGTCCAGATGCGCCGCTCTTAGTCAAGTATGATTTGGAGTCCGCAGACAAGGGCCACATGCAATTCTACCTCGCACCCAAGATCGATGAGTAAATGCTGGCTAATTTGATTCGCGCAATGTCGCCAAGTGATGTTTCCAAGAGCTCGAGCTGGCTTGGATCGGGTCCGGAGGCACTGCAGGGGTGGCAGTGTTGTTTGATGTAAAATCTCTGACTGCGCCTGTTGGCAAAGAAGCGCGCACGAGCGGAATTTGGTCACGAGCGGCATGCAACTCTACCAGTGCCACTGTCACAGTTATGGCGATCAGGCAGTTGGTGCGGAGCTGCCTGGAGCCTGGCAAAATGCACGCCTGGTTTCGGGGCGGGAGGTTGCCGCATGCGAAACTTGGTGCGAAACATGCTCGAAGACGTCTCTCACCAACGGCACCATGTTGAAAGAGTTTTGTGTGTCCGTACATGCAAGAAAAATGACAAGATATAGATTTGTTTACAAGACATAGAAAGCACTGAACTTGGCCACCCCCCTCGCCTGGGACGTCTGACTTCAAGCAGTCGTTCTTTGAAACACGTCCGCGGCAGAGAAAACCAAATTTTTCCGTGGAATTCAGAGCGAGCTAGAGATGGGAGCACGCACACATTTTAGATTGAATTCCAAACCTAAGCAGCGCTACAGGAATGCCATCATTTTGCAATGGTGACTGCCACCGTATTGATTTACTCTTGTAAACTAACTATGAGAAAGGCACGCGGTCTGGAATGGGTTGCCAATACGAAGGCAATGATTAGCCAGAAAGCCTTTGCAGAATCTACTTTGCTTCCCAACAATGATTCGACAGATGAAGCTGAGGATGCGGGGCAATCCAGACTCAGAGCCATCCACGGTGTAAAGCGAGAGGATCCGCTGACTTGATTTTTGAGCACCGGTGTCTCTCCAACATACTTCACTGGTGAGGACGGGTTCCAGCAGAGGGTATCATCGCGACTTGAGACGGTCCGCAGACTTAGTGGCATTATGCATAAGTATGTTACATAGGAATATACGTTTATCCAACAGAAGCCATGCCGAGAGTATGGATTTGTCGCGTCTATCAGGCACACGAGGCAGACCTTTCATGCTGGTTCCTCAAGCCTGTGTGGTGGAAGGGGACATGGATTGTTGCGCTTGGTCAGCCGCGGTTATTTGGAGCAGTTAGGTGACTGGGCGGCTCGCAGCGAGGTGATTTGCTCCATGGTTGAGGCAAGTCCAAGCGCATGTTTTTCAGTCTCCACTTGCGGAGTGTCTGATTCTGATCGATGCATTGCCTGGGTTCAGGCGAAGCATGGTCGAGTCGCAGGCTTGCTGGCCAGTCGTCTTCGTACGCTGCAGGCAGGGCTGTGCAGGAAGCGCAAAGCTTCCCTAATCTACTTCTTGCAGCATATAGCAGCCTCGAGCTTGAGGTTGCTGCGAGGCTTTCGCACGTTTTGCTTTCTCGCTCCAAGTGATTTCAAGCAAGTTGTTTGCCACCAATATTGTTCAATGGCAAAGATTGTACAATTGCTACAACTTGGCACACACATGGCAGTTTGTGTCATTGATGCGAGCTATCCCCTGGCATCACCTCGATGAGAGAAGTGGAGGAGGCTACATTGGCGAAAGGTTTTCAAGAGGTCTGTGGTAGTGTATTGGAAGCTGGTGAGACTCGTTGAAGTTGCAGCATTGGTCACTGATTCGTACAGTTCTTGAAGCTACATTACCAACTTTGAGTTTGAGGACACTAGCTTGGGAAGCCAAGAGAATTGGCGAGGTTTGTCCGGCGCTGAACGTGTTACTTGATCTCGGAAGTGATCAAGATCCAATGAGTCCATTCTCCCTAATTTTTGGCAGGTCAAGTCTAATTCGATACTGCCAAACACGCACAGATCCATCAATACTGTTCAGCCTGGAGAGGGCATGACATCGACAAACGAAGCAGGGATGAAGCGTTAGACGATTGACATGAATGAATGGCTGAAGGACTGAAAATGACCTCAGGCCGAGCTGATTCCTTTAGCCGGTCCCTCCCTTTAGCCCGTCACGGAAAGAGGATATGCAACACCCGAGTAGGTGACAAGATACATAGCAGTTTTGACGGAACTTCGAAGGCCCAGCAGGTACCTTTGAAAAGTGAGTCTCCAACACGCGTTGAAGAACTGCAAGCGAGTGCAGGCAACAGTTCTTGCAAAAGCAACATAGCAATAGCATGGTTTGTGCATGATTATAATCTCTTTGTTTTGCTGGGTGATTCATTGCAGCCAGGCATGTTCACATGTCAACTAGCTACTTTGGACCAGATTGACATCAGCCTGCGCCGTGCTTGAGCCCTTGCAAGCCGCAAGCGGACCGAATCCCGCTTTCCGCTGATCTTTCTGGCTGTAGCACGTGGGGCACGGTGTTGTCAGAGAAAATCCAAGAATTTGGAGTCCTATTGGTCCTATTGCCAATTCTCGCGGCCTTTCGCTATGGCCCTCAAGAGGCCTGCTTCAGCTCTCGCATCCTCGAGGACAAGGCTGCAAGAAACATGAGCGATAGCGGCCTCTTGTCACTTGCAGGACTCAAAAATATGGGCTGCACATTCGTGACCTTCATGAGCTGGGCGATTTTGCACAAGCTGGATTTGAAGCTGTGGTGCTGGCGTTGGATCGGGCTTCCAATTCCTTGGAAGATGACAGAGTTCCAATTTCCGGGGCTGCAGTGGAGCTTACAAAGACCGGAAGGTTGCGAACCGTGGCCATAGGCTGGATCATTGCATTGTGCATTTGTGCTAGATTGAATTGTCAGCTTTGAGCTGGCTGACATACCATGGCGAAGGTTCAGAAAAGCGTATTAGGGACAGGCATCGATGCAGGAGACGTTATCCATGCCGGGCATTTTTAGAAACCAGCACTCAGACAATTCAGAGCATTGAAACCCACGAGCTGACATGGCACATTTCTTAGACAAATTGTTGCGAGCGCGCAGCACATGTGCCCACATGTTACGTTGATTTTGAGTCGTGAAGAGGCAGTGCGGAGGGCACTACTGATGCCACGTGCTGTGTTTCTAGGAGTCTGGAATGTGACGTTGCCAACAATTCATGTAACGGATCCCCTTTAGGCATGTGGGGATAGCTTACCTGCATCAACCAGAGTTTATGGTTGTGACTCGCATTGAAGGTCACAATGGTCGCATTCCTCCATCGGGATCTCGCTGTTCAAGCGGATATCCCACAGACCATGGGGAGACGGCTGCCATCCGCCAGGTCAAGGATGTTTCCAAGGTTGACTGGGGTCGAGTTGTTTTTGCCACCACACTTAGCCCATGCGTCATGTGCGGAGCGACGCTTGAATGGCTATGGGGGCTGGGACTTCGGCGCGTGGTGGTTGCAGAAAGTGCCAGTTTCAGTGGTACAGCTGATTCGTTGGCACAGCTCTCCGGCATGACCGTGGTGTGCTTGTCAAGCCCACAGGCGCAGTCCATGATGAAGACTTTTGCGGGCCGCTTCCCTTGGGACTGGGCTGCTGACATCGGGGAAATACCTCCGCGCGACCTCGCATTCATTAGTTCTTTTGACGAGAAAAGCGTGACGGACTTTGCCACTCGGATGTCCGCACAAATTGCAGCTGGGCATCAGGCAGCGGTGGTGCGCTCCGACGTTGTTATGGCATCTGCTGCGGACGAGCGATCGCAGAGTGGAGGGAATGAGACTCGCAGTGCAGTGATGCTCGCGATGGGGCGCGCAGGATCGGAAGTCAATTTGAGAGAGTGCATCTTGTTCATAAGATCTTCTAGCAGCACATTGAGTCTACGTGAATTTGGGGTGGTTTCCGTTGGAGCCTGCAAGCTGTTCCGCCCAGCCCTGATTGTGGCAACAGTCTCCATGGAACTTGAGCTGAAGTCAAAGCTCGAGGAGGCTGGCCTACGCGTTGCGAGCGCCTGATATTTTTGAGAACAGCTTCCATAAATGTAGGCACCCTAGGCACCGTAGGCACCGTAGGCACCGTCGGCACCATAGGCACCGTAGGCATCAATACTTTGATTTGTGAGTTGAAGCTCGGCTAGGGTTGTTTGCCAGAAGAATGTCCGGATGCTTGCATATCTCAATCAGCCAAAAGCTTGGCGCGGATAAAGCGAGCAAAGCAAAGGTGATTGCGTCATACTTGTCTTTTGAGGCTCAAAATAGGCTTGACAAATGTTTAAATGGGACTCTTCTGGCAAGTTGAATCTACCACAAGTGTGACAGCAGCAAAGGCTGAAACTCCCTTCAATGCACAAATTTGACATCGGACAGATGCTTGATTCAATCTAGCCCCGGGTTCTTCCTGTGCACCTGATGTGGCAGTATGAATAATGTCCTGTGTGCAGAGCAGTGTCAGCCTTACTTTCGAAGCACATTTCAGGCACGTCGTTTTGTGCATTCAAGCCGAGGGCCATCCGGTGCGGGCTTCTGGTTGTGGCTCTTCACCTTGCTGCGTCTCAGGCTCCGGGTCCATCTAAACGCATTGCCTGTCAAGCTTCTTTGGGAGAGCAGCAAACGGTCAGAATTGGGTGACCTTTCCATGGGGTGATAGGAGAAGCATTTGGCAGGATCCTTGGCCCATTTGCGAGAACCGAGAGTGCCTCACTGGCATTATGAACCCATCTTCGATATCATGTCGTGAATACCACTGCAAGGTTTCGAGATGATGAAACTGAGCCTGGCGGTCTGAAACTCTTGGGAGTGAAGGAGAGCCCCCTTGGCAGCTTGGGCGCAAGGGAAGCTTGGAAGGGGTTACATTTGTTATACATCGCACTGGACCCTTCTCAGGCTATTTCCCTCCCTTTCCCGCGGCCCTGACGCATGAGCACTTCTTTCAGCAGCTGCGAGATGTGCTGAGCGACGACTGCCCGCGGCTTGCAGGAAGTGTTGCTAAACGATGTGACATACAATGGCAACACAAGCATGTTCATTTTTTTTTTAAATACCTGCAAGGCGCATCTTCGTAGAAATTGGTTTGCAGCCTGCTGCAGGCCGCTTGCGGTGGCTGGGACTGCATTGAGTCCTGCAGATCGGTCAATGCTTCACATCCGTTTGGTGAATTGTGAATGCCGGAGTGTGCTAACGCTCGCTGCATCTTTTTGGGAAACACGCGACTTGTACAATGAGTGCTGATCAGCGACTTGTAGTGTGTTCAAAGATCACCCACTTAATTAGACCTTTCAGCTTGTTTCTCCTTTTCCTTCTTGCATCCCTGTCACATATATAGAGTGGCAGAGGATATTCGTTTGCATAAGATGAATTCTGTCAATTCAAAGCAAGCACCATGGCGTAACAAGATCGCACACTCACAGAGAGACACACGGCAGAACCGCCCACGGCCCGCCCGACGCATTAGTTGATCCTTTGCCCAGATGAAATGCCAGGTCAATATATCCTTCTCCTCTACAAAGTCTATCAAGCTTGAGCTGTCCGGTTTGCAATCCAGAAATGTGTGAACATCAACTTCACGGCAATGTCCTGGGACAATCCTGGTTTCGAATTGCAGGCACATGCTTTTGAGATAGACCTAGTTCACGTCAGTGCTCTTAGAACTCCTCAGAGCACTTGCTCCTTGGAGTTTCCAACTATTCTTTGTCAGGTGGGGGCCTGCAATGCCTTGTGACGTGTGAGTCTGTTTATCGTTTGTACAATATAGGTCTAAGGAGTGTGGCTGAAGCCTGTTTGCAATTACCATCCCTCCATGTGCCAAGGTGATGCTTTTTTGCCGACTGGAATCCTGAGACTCTGAGCTTGGGGGAAGCATTAGGAGTCTTCCCAGTATGGTAGACAAAGCCAGTACACACACACACACAGTATGATTTTTTAAATATCAAGGCAGCGTGAGCTCACCCTAGTTGGGCTGATCATGCAGAGGGCAACGCTGCTAGCCTGCTTGAATCTATTTCGCGGTACAAGAATCAGTGCATAAAAAACGATACGCGGATGCCAGCACAGCTGCCTGAGATCCAGGAATCCTGACATGTTCGCAAGAAACACACTCCTCTGCGAGAACTTTGGGTACGCTCACGCGCTCAGGATAGGGCAGAGAACACTAACACTGAGCAGATCCGAGGGTTCCAAGTATCTGGAAGTTGAAGCGAGAGATATCCAGTGTTCCATCACATCCTCAAGAACTTCAAGAGCTTAGGATTTGTCATTTGGCTGCAACCTCGTGTCTCAAGCTCAGGAACTGGTCGGCCACAGCGCTGTGGCTTCGATATTTCAATCACTCTGGACTTGTTCTGGCTGTAGATCCTGTGGCAGACTTTCTGGAGCACTTTGCCAACACCCTCAAGCAGGAGCTGAGTCGACGCAAGCACAGTGGTTCCAAGCACCCATGAAGGAGCCTTGGGCATCCATCGCCGGAAACAGGGTGAAGGCTGCGCTGGAATATAGAAACGTTGAGGCATGAATATCCGTTTTGAAGGTGAAGGAGCTACAAGCCAGGGTTGCAAGCACAGAAGAAGCCAAGGCTGGGCATCCTTGAAATTGTCATCATTTTGATGCCGGACCAAAGTTGCTTAGCTTGCCTGGTACCCGAGCACTGGCCAAAGTCCTTCGACGGAGAGAGGTCTTCTCTGGTGAATGAGGCAGAACTTTTGCTACAGCAGTTCAAGTTGGATTTGCAGAAGATGACTGCTGCAAGTCTTTGCAGGTGAAACAGCTTTGTGCTGATGGCAACGGGCTGGTTGACAGTCTGTCACACCCCTGCTATCAAATTCGGAGGCTCGTAGCGTCGTAGAGAGTGAGTGTCATATAGCTTCATGTTTTTGCTGCATCCAGCCTGTGAATTTGCCTGCCAGACGAGATTCGTGGCAACACCTGGACTATACTGCCCCGCTCCTGACTTTCGATGCGATTTGGAAAGAACATTTAGGCCATTTGCTTAGTTGCACAAGTCGCAAACAGCAAACATGACAGTCTGAGTCTTGAAGGAAACTGCAGACTCCCAAGGTGGCAGGCACATTGATTTTCTGCACTTGAATCTGGGTGGAAATAGCATTGTCCGCATGTTGCATGGCTGCACACAGTCGTGCACTGAACAGCATGAGAGTGAGTCAAACCTTTGCATGGCACACATCATTGCAGACAGGGTCATGCAGCTTGTAGGAAGCTCGTCTAAGGTTTCATCAGGGATTTTCAAGAGTCATTCTATCAAGAGCTCTGACAGCGCTATCGTTGCGCATTGACAAGTCCTGGACAAAGAAAGACCTTCAGACCATAGTGGAGTACTTGGACAAATTCGAGTACTTTTCCATGTTCCGAATGGTGTGTGCTTTGCTCAGTTGCTTGCAGCAAAGCAAGTACGTGATGCTTTTTCCCTTGTGAAGCATCTTCTGGCCGAAGGTCGAGAGAGCAGCCAGGTTGGTACATTTGCTTACTATGGTCCCGGTGGAGTAAATGTTGGGCCAACCACCTACTTGCCTCTTAGCTCCATGGACATCGATACAATAGTTGATTGGGAGAAGATGCCATTCCCCCAAGATGTCATTGTTTTGGATCTTCGTCAGCCGGATATCTTCAAAACAGTTCAGATTGGGGATGCGCAATGTGATGCTGAAGATGAAGCTGACTCTTGTGATGCCAATGATGACCATTGCAAAGCAGAACAAGTCGCGAGACCTCCAGAGCGTCCTCAACTGACTCGGGTTGTAAAGACAGGTTCGCGTTCCATCACTTTGGAGTGGCGGCCCCATCCAGACGGCCCGACTCCGGATGGCTACCTTCTACGGGTAGAGCCTGGTGCCTTCGAAGAAACTGTGGATCATGACACCTTTGATGCGCTGAGCAGTGTGCAATCTCACACAATCAATGGCCTTCGCCCAGATGTCGAGTATACAATCAGTCTTTGCTCGCTAGGAGTCGGCGGAGAAAGCGGAAAGGTCATTTTATCACATCGCACCGAGAGTGAAGATGTGTCTCTGAGAGACTCACCCTTCGATCTTGCTGAAGATCTGCACTGCGGCATGGGTGCTGCAGAAGAGGTTCAACCGCCAGGTCCCTCTCCTGCTGGAGCGTCGTATTTTCCTGGAGTTGGTGATGTTGAAGGATGCAAGCTCCGCTGCGAGGGGAATAGACAGTGCGTGGCTTTCCAGGTTCACGCAGGCAATGCTTGCTGGCTTTACAGGCAGAAGCCACCAGATCGGCGACTTGCCGGTCCAAAGTCAGATTTGGGGTGGTGGTGTGCGATTAGAAGGCAGTAGCAAACTTGGAAAAAGGAAACATGACGAAATCCTGTTCGCAGCCTCTTCGGGCACTAGTTGGTTTGCTCCTGCATCTCTCTCGCAGGCTCTGAAAGCTACCTGGGACACAGGGAATGCAGCCGAGTTGGTGAAGGCTTTGGAGGTGCCGGAGTCTGCCCCTCACCCTACTCCTTTGGCCCTATGTTCATGTTATGGTCCAGTTATGGTATACGTTTGCCACACTTCAAGCTTCTTATTTCGCCCCCCCTCCCCCTCCCTTTACTCACAATATGGCTGCGATCTACCTAGCTCGAGACTGGTAGAAAGGTGGAAGAACCAATCTAAGAAGACTTCAGGCCAAACGGCCAAACCCCTTTCTTGGGCTAAAGTCTCATGGAAGCGAAGCTAGCCTTGAACAATGTTCCGGTTGTAAAGTACTTGCCCATGAGTTTATGCACCTTCAGAAGGGTGCCTTGGTTTGGAAACACGCATGTGACGCATGACATGCGTGCGAGGCGTGTAATGATGATTCTTTGGCTGCGGCATTTTTGGGCCGCCTCACTCAGCGGCCCCAGCTTTGGTTTTGCGCTTCTTTCTTGATTTGCATGCATTGGACCCAGATGAGCGACGCCAGGCATCCTCAGCTTCCTGCCGTGTCGTTGGCCAGGTCAGGTCTGTGCACTTCCGAACCCTACCCAGTTTCTCTCTCGCAGGCTGCTGCCGCTGGCACAGAGGCTTGTGCAGGCAGACTGCGAGGACTCGTTCGCTTTTGTCTTTTGTGTCCTTCTATACTCGATTTGAGTTGCGGAGTTGCGTGATTTGAATGCGAGAGCAGCGGGCTTGGGCTGGGACTCGAGCGGGGGCTGTGGGGGGCCTTGAGTGGAGCAAGGAGCACGCAGTGGCCGCCGTTCGCTTTGCGCTGCACAGCCTCCAGGCACCGGTGGCCGGTCCGGCCGGGGGCAAGCGCCAAGTGCAGGAAGCAAAGCAGTAACTGCAGGTCTCTTGGCCAACGATTGCGAAGTCGCTGAAGAGCATTGGAACCTCACAGGCTCGGAGCTTAAATTCCTGGACAAGTGACAGTCCTGTGAACCATTTGGAATGCTTGAACTAGCCATGCCAGGTGTTGCTTGCAGCCTGCGAGGAAGCTGTCGGGCAGCTCCAATCATTGTGCGCTCCAACCCCGACGTGTATCAAGCTGTGCATTTCAGCGACAGGTACTCCACAGTCAAAGCACTGTCACGTTCGGTGAAGATATCTAAGACCAATGGACCTTTGGCCGGGCACTCAGCTGCTGTACTTGTTGTAGGACATGGAAAACCTGAGGTTCCACTTTGCAAGAAGCTCAAAGTCAGCCTCGAGCAGGCGGACTGATGAGCACCTGGGGATTTATCAGAGTGTTGCTAGCATACTGTTTGATGAGATTTCAACATTCAAAGTACTTTGAGTCTTGACAAGGGAAGCGGAGCAGAACATTTTGAACATACTATTTCAGTGACATGGTGCTCAAGAAGCGGCGTGCAGTGGAGCCGCAATGCCAGGCTTTGACGGGGGTTGGACGACTGCGTGCCTAATTGGCCTGGGCACAGTCGCCATCTCGCCTGATAATGACCAAATAGCTTCTTTCAAGTGAGGCTGCTGAGTCTGCTTGGGAGGAAAATGGGTCCGAGCATGTGCATGCCAAGCCATATTGAGCGCAGCAGCGTGAGCAGAATGTGCACTTGTGGCATGAACACAGCAGAGTCCCCTTAGACGACAACACATGAACTAGCAAGTTGACATGTATGTACACATCCGTTTTTTCACCTCCGAATCCCACTTACAGTACTGGCCGCAGCAACATGAGACGGTGCAGGCATCACCCCTAAGACGACCTTTCCTTCCATCTCCGAGAAGGATACTACTGATGTCACTTTTTGATTCCATGATGATGTCCAGGACCGCTCTGTTTGCCCAGGATGTTGAAGGCGACGGCTCTTTCGAAGGATTGCCAGAAGTAGTCAGATGGAACCTTTCAAGCTATTTGTTGGCTAATCAATGATATTATATCCACAATGTATTGGCAAAATCGTTGACACCATCATTGTTGTTGACCATGCTGGCGATTATGGTGATGCTAACAATGCTGGTGATGCTGGCGATGCGGAACAGTTGAGCATCGCAGTGCTATCAAGCGGTCTCATTGTTGATAGTGAAGCCTTGGGTGATGGTGTGGCTGGCATGCAGGTCATGTTGAAAGGAATTTGCAGCGTTGACGGTGATGTTAAGATACACGCTGGGACTGTTTAGGCAAAATGTCTGAATGGAGCTGCAGTGATGCTACACACATTGTGGGAGTCGCATGCGACGATGAGGGTTCCCAACTCCAATTGATACTCCTGACAGCTTCAGCATGACTGTCCTTGGGTGAGGGTGTGGCTGGCATGCGGGTCATGTTGAAAGGAATTTGCTTCGTTGGCAATGATGTTTAGGTACACGCTGGGACTGTTTAAGCAAAATGTCTGAATGGAGCTGCAGTGATGATACACACATTGTGGGAGTCGCATTCGACGATGAGGGTTGACAACTCCAATTGATACTCCTGACAGCTTCAGCAGGACTGTCCTTGGGTGAGGGTGTGGCTGGCATGCGGGTCATGTTGAAAGGAATTTGCTTCGTTGACGGTGATGTTTAGGTACACGCTGGGACTGTTTAGGCAAAATGGCTGAATGGAGCTGCAGTGATGATACACACATTGTGGGAGTCGCATGCGACGATGAGGGTTCCCAACTCCAATTGATACTCCTGACAGCTTCAGCATGACTGTCCTTGGGTGAGGGTGTGGCTGGCATGCTGGTCATGTTGAAAGGAATTTGCTTCGTTGGCAATGATGTTTAGGTACACGCTGTGACTGTTTAGGCAAAATGTCTGAATGGAGCTGCAGGGATGATACACACATTGTGGGAGTCGCATGCGACGATGAGGGTTGACAACTCCAATTGATACTCCTGACAGCTTCAGCCGGACTGTCCTTGGGTGAGGGTGTGGCTGGCATGCGGGTCATGTTGAAAGGAATTTGCTCCGTTGACGGTGATGTTTAGGTACACGCTGGGACTGTTTAGGCAAAATGTCTGAATGGAGCTGCAGTGATGATGCACACATTGTGGGAGTTCCATGTGACGATGAGGGTTCCCAACTCCAATTGATACTCCTGACAGCTTCAGCAGGACTGTCCTTGGGTGAGGGTGTGGCTGGCATGCCGGTCATGTTGAAAGGAATTTGCAGCGTTGACGGTGATGTTAAGATACACTCTGGGACTGTTTAGGCAAAATGTCTGGCTGCAGTGATGATACACACATTGTGGGAGTCGCATGCGACGATGAGGGTTCCCAACTCCAATTGATACTCCTGACAGCTTCAGCATGACTGTCTTGGGTGAGGGTGTGGCTGGCATGCGGGTCATGTTGAGAGGAATTTGCTTCGTTGACAATGATGTTTAGGTACACGCTGGGACTGTTTAGGCAAAATGTCTGAATGGAGCTGCAGTGATGATACACACATTGTGGGAGTCGCATGCGACGATGAGGGTTCCCAACTCCAATTGATACTCCTGACAGCTTCAGCAGGACTGTCCTTGGTGAGGGTGTGGCTGGCATGCTGGTCATGTTGAAAGGAATTTGCAGCGTTGACGGTGATGTTAAGTTACACGCTGTGACTGTTTAGGCAAAATGTCTGAATGGAGCTGCAGTGATGATACACACATTGTGGGAGTCGCATGCGACGATGAGGGTTCCCAACTCCAATTGATACTCCTGACAGCTTCAGCATGACTGTCCTTGGGTGAGGGTGTGGCCGGCATGCGGGTCATGTTGAAAGGAATTTGCTTCGTTGACAATGATGTTTAGGTCGCGCTGGGACTGTTTAGGCAAAATGTCTGAATGGAGCTGCAGTGATGATACACACATTGTGGGAGTCGCATGCGACCATGAGGGTTCCCAACTCCAATTGATACTCCTGACAGCTTCAGCATGACTGTCCTTGGGTGAGGGTGTGGCTGGCATGCTGGTCATGTTGAAAGGAATTTGCTTCGTTGGCAATGATGTTTAGGTACACGCTGTGACTGTTTAGGCAAAATGTCTGAATGGAGCTGCAGGGATGATACACACATTGTGGGAGTCGCATGCGACGATGAGGGTTGACAACTCCAATTGATACTCCTGACAGCTTCAGCCGGACTGTCCTTGGGTGAGGGTGTGGCTGGCATGCGGATCATGTTGAAAGAAGGAGGATGGGTTTCAGCATTGGCTTAGGGTGTTTGTAGAGTGGGTGGGGGTGTTTGGTTGGTTGTTGGTCTAATGTAGGTTTGGGGTTAGTTTAGGATAGTTTGTGGCTGGCTTAGATTGGTTTGTTTAGGGTCATTAGGGCGGGTTTAAGGTTTCCTGAGGGTTGGCTTAGGTTTGGATTGGTTCTAGTTTAGTGGTGGTTTAGGGTGGGTTTGGTGTTGGTTTAGGGTGGATTTTTAGGGCCTGGAATTTGCGTTTAGGGTGGGCTTTGGATTCTTTAGGGTTCGTTCAGGGGCTTTGGTTTGTCTTTCAAGGTCATCGCAAAAACTAACAACGGCACTATAAAGAAGCGGGAGGGGTGGGGGGAGGGGCAGCCCCCCCACATCAGAAAACAAACAACGACACTGACGGAGAAAGAGCTGACAGGGAGGTTCAGATATGTTCTGGGACAGAATGTTCTGAGGGCTGGTAAAGACTGGATGGAGCTGCAGTGATACACACGTTGCGGGAGAGTCGCATGCGACGATGAGGCTTCCCGACTCCAATTGATACTCCTGACCGCTTCGGCATGACTGTCCTTTGAGGGTGCTGATGGCATGACCTGCACTGTTGGCAGTGAGGTTTAGATACATTCCGGGACTGTTCAGGCAAAATGCCTGAATGGAGCTGCAGTGATGATACACACATTGTGGAAGTTGCATGCGACAATGAGGGTTCCCAACTCCAATCGCTGACAGCTTCAGCAGGACTGTCCTTTGAGGG